AACTAGAACTTGGATTAAGTTCTAGCATCGTGGACATAGGCCTTTACTCCTACTCCTTACTCCAAGCTTACTCCATGCATTGTAGACGACGCTTAAGAAGAGACGGAGATAACCGACTAACCTCTGGTTAACATTTAACTAGCAAACGAAAAACCGGGCCCGAAAGGAATGTACTTTCGTTGGCACCGTATCGCGGTGTCCAGTTGAACTTCGCGGCGCACGTGTCGACAATCGATTATCGAGCCACGTGACCCGCCGAGCGCCGGCGACGGGGCACGAGCGCCGTTTTATATTATCGCACCCGTGCCCTTCAAACGACACTACTTCGTTAGTACCCGTGGCGGACGGAGCTGATTTCTTTCGTACGCGGTGAGTATCTCCTCCTGGACGGTGCGCCTCCCGTTTTCGCGCTCCCGAGTGAATCCGCCGCTCGTCGCCGGTTCTTCGCATGGCCGTCATTTCTCTCTCGCCGGGCGGCACATAACCGCGCGACAACGTAACCGCAATTCGCGTCTGCCATCCCGCGACGTACGCCGCACCGGCCATTCTCGTGACGTCGCCTTGGACCAGCAGTAAGAATCTATCTCACCTCCCGGCTCGCGATAATCGCCCGCTGGACTCGGCCGTGCTCCCGCGGGAGAGGAGGAGCCTCGGGAGGCGCGAGGTCGAGATGATGTAACGACCGGGCGGATGTAACGACACCCACCCCTCGCCGCTCGCGACGAGGTTCGCGGCGAGGATTCGACAGAGTCCCTTCGCTCGGCGACGCGGACGGCGATCGTTAAACGGCCCTCGCGCGGTCGATATTATAGCTGGTGGCAGAGAGCGATCCGTGAACGCTTAAAACTGGCTTAGTCGTAGACGTAGGGCAAAGCAGAGAGAATCGTAAGTCGTACACAATATGCCTTTCACGATCCGTAAACGCTTGAGACTGGCTTAGTCGTAGACGTAGGGCAAGGCAGAGAGAAACGTAAGTCGTAAGAGGCATATTGTATACGACTTGCGTTTCTCTCTGCTTTGCCCTACGTCTACGACTCGGACAGTCTCAAGCGTTTACGGATTGTTCTCTGCCATCAGCCTATCGCTCGACGGGCGATTACACGGCTGGCGGGCGTTCGATCGCGGTGTAACGAGATGAGCTGTGCTCCGCGTTTCTCGCGGGACACCGTCGGGTATTCAAAGTCCGATTCTTGCGTTCAAGATCGTCTCGAGTGCGATCCCGAGAGGCTGCACCGGCGTTTTATCGACCGCACGGGACGCGGTGCTGCTTGAGATTTGTCGAGTTGAATTCCTAGCGAGAAGTGACTTGTCGATCGACGTGTCATTCCTGACACGGTTCAAGAGGCTTGTTTCTTGTTGCTACCCTGGTGAACTAGTGCAATAAATTGGAGTAAGACAAGTATATTTTTTCTCATTCTAACTGCACTGGTCCACCAGTGGAGGAACAGAAAGCAAACCTATTATGATGTCGAGTGTAAAATCGTATTGCGAATACCGTCCTTCGCCGCCCTTGGTCCGTAAATTGATTTGAAAACTAAATGTTACCCGCGCCACATGCGATTACCGTATCGTCGATTGCGCACGATTAAAGATCTTAATGTCTTCCATCGCTGAAAAATATCAAAAGAACTGTGTTAAATATGACTTTGTTTAAGTGACCTCTGGTGAAAATTGTTCTCGGAATTTTTATACGAATTGGTGCACTTTTCAGAAATGCTGAGAAAGTCCATGTTTCTCAGAATTTTTTTATATATGTACGTGAATATTCTGAGATATAAATGTTTGAAACAATAGAACGAGAAATTTCAGAATGCCAGGGTGGGTTGACGATAAGCTCCCCGTTTTAAATTTCAGAATATTTCAGAATTTATACATACGAAAAATTGTAGGAAAGGTATAAACGTTCTCGGTGCTTCTGAAAAGTGTCCCAATTTGTATTAAAAAATCTGAGAAATTATTAAGTTAATGAAAAGAAATTTTATAAATTTTGAAATTCACATAAAAATTATTTTAAATTCTGAAAAAGAATTTTCACCAAGGATTTCATGTCCATTTCCACCAACGCAGATTGGCTTTGGTCTCGGTGTAGCTTACTTACTATCACTTTCTAGTTTCAGGAATTGAAAAAAAGATACAGAGTAAGTTAAACCGAGATTAAAGTTAATGCATTGCTAGAAATGGACATAAGTTTGCTTTTTAATCCAGCTATTCTCGCACCTTATCTTCAGTCGTCTTCAACCGACTATTTATAAATCCTTGAAGGGCACGGAGACAAGAACAAGTGTATAATAAATTTCGACGAGCTGGATTAACATCTGCTAAGTAATAAGAAGATCTTGCCTGTAATTGTGCGAATAAATATAAATCATCATAAACCATCGTAATTTCGACTTTCAAATACGAACAATTGCTAAAACGTTATATATAATAGCACGTCGCAACGAGTCCCATTGCGCCAAATTATAGATATCGCAATACTTTCCGTCCTCTTCTTCGCATTTGAATAATGATTTTCAAACCAAATTATTCGATTAATTTTCAAATCGGCGATTAACTTAATCTCTTACTCCACGCGTCATCGTCCTTGATCTAATCTTTCTTGCCGAGGAAGGAGAGTTGATACTTGAACCCCAAAAAAAAGTTAAAATAATCCCGCGTGTTAGAAGCTGCGGTTATCGCTCGATTAATTAATCAGGACTTTGTCGAAGCCGCGGGAAGTCCGAACAAGTTTCCCTCCCGAGCTGGCGACGCGCGGATCACGTTAGATTGAAACGCGGTTGCATCGCGACTTGTGCAGCGATTGACGTCAGTTTCATCATCGAGCCGCCGATCCGATAATCCCACGCACGCGAGGTCACGCGATCATCCGCGTAGACACCGAGATGTCGAAGAACTTGGACACACCCCCCTTCGACCTTGCCTGACCTACGAGACTCGTCGTTGGTGCTCGATCGGAGGCGCGTGCCAAGATTGTCTCGTCACCGCGGCTGCCTTCGAAGATACATCAAAGGCTAAATAACGTTTATGTCGCGCGCGGAATTATGTAAGCGGCCGCGAATCTCTCCTAATCCTGTTGCGTTTATGATTGCTTTGTACTTTCGCCAATAAACGTGTAAGAAAACAATTTTTTCACAGTTCGCTTGGATCTTGCCTAATTGTCAGTGCAGCAAAGATATTGCAAAGCATTTTGTGTACGTACAGCGACGGACCGAATGGGTGCAACACTTTTTAATGAGTTTGGGAATGTGCGTTTAGATTCAGGGTTACGCTCTGAAATCTTCTCCGAGGAACATTTTACTCGATCGCACCGGAAACATTTTGAGCGCTCTTCCTCGAGAACAGACTTTCCTCAGAGAAAATTTTTGGAACGTAAACCTGAATCTAAATGCATGTTCCTAAACGCATTTACGAAAAAGTGTCGCAACC